AAAAGTTCTTCTCCTTACGCTTAATTAAATAACAAAAAAAGACACTATTCTATTGACAAAAAGATAATAATAATAATAAACCAAACTAAAAACCACTTTCTTGTTTTCACAAGTTTCATTCAAAAGCTGTACTGAAGAACTTACTCACCACATTCTCAGACAGAATTTGCAGAACCTTAACATTACTTGGCTTCACACATCTTGGCATCTTAAACTGTCCAGCAGACGAACCAAGGCCAAGAAAATGTTCTTGAACCTTCCTGAATGTTCCCTTTTCGACAACTCTAAGCTCTAAAGCTCCAATCGTCTTGCATTTTCGAGAACTCATATAGCCCGCATCCATGAATCCTCGGTCTAAACAGTTACAACAATCTTGAAGAACATCTTCGTTTGTTTCTCCTGAAATCTCCCAGAATATAACGTAATGTCCAGGATCTGTCGAGACATCGACATGGCTAGAGAAGTCTATGACTTCAATCTTTTCTTCAGAGAGTCTCTTTGCCGCGGATTCTACTGAAAGCTGAAGGTCTCTCTCCGTGTTCTTATCGATGTTGATCGAGAGAATTAGGTTTCTCCTGCATATGAATTTTAGTTGAGGAGTTTTGTTATAGAAACCAATGACCTTTACCACATCTCCAAGCCGGTATCGATACAACCCTGTGGATCAAATTTGATTTCAGTACATAATAGGAATCGATAGATATAAACCGAAAACTAGACTAGGAAGCCTTTAGATGTAAGCAAATTAACTTAAATAGGAAGATCTGTTAGGTATATACCTGCGTAATTTGTGACGATCACCTCGTACTCTTCTCCGATTTTGACTTCAGTTAAACCAACCGGTTTCTGCTCTCCTTCCTCTGTTTCAGAAACAGAGAGAAACTCGAAATAACCGAGATTCGGGATCACAGCAAATGTAGCTTCCTCTGGAGACAATCTCGGGGTAACATTAGCAGCAATCCATCCTTCTGAGCTACCGTAGTCATGACTCACAAGAGGTAGATCTCCCGCGTAATGTCTCACCTTCTTCACGTACGGTTCCATCGAGCCAGTCAAGATCCCGTAAACATACTTTGCATTCGGGAAAAGCGCGGGGATTAGTCCGTACCAATTGCTCAAACTCATACATATGGTGTGGATTGTCTCGGCTAGCTCAGGGTTAGGTGTGAGCAGCTTCGACATTGCAGTACGGACTGATGAGACAGTGATACGGCTGCTTAAGACACCGTCTTTAATATCGGTGACCATCTCTTCCCAAACCTGTTCAAATGTTCTAAACGCGTGAACTAGACCGTGAGCGAAAGAGGCAAAGACATATTGAACTTGGTCTCTAAAGAGAATCCCTGATAAGAGATGACAATACAATGCTTGATGGACATCAGGACTAAAGATAACTTCGTCAGGACTACAACAAGGAGACTGTATTGATTTCATCCCGATTTTGAAATTCGGGTTCCGGTACACATTCGTTGTTGCGGTACCAATCAGAACACCGCCTTCGGATACATACTGCTTACTGCTGAAGATAAATTGCAAAGCTTTCCCATTTGCATCAATTGGAAAGTCTCTGTAAACAATCAACAAAACATCGAAAATGTAAAAAATCAATCTTTTTTTTTTATGGCATAGTTTCTCAATGGATGAAACAGAGAAAAGTGTGTCACTAATTGACTATACCTGTTTCTGAAGGCAAAAGCAGTGCGAAACAGTTGTAATGTGTCCTCCATTAATTCATCAGTGAAAGGAATAAACTTTGGACGACCTTGACTAGTTCCAGAGCTGTGAAACGATCATAAACAGATTCATTCATTGATTAATAGATCTCTTGAAGAAAACAGATTTGAATCTGATCGATGAT